CCTTGTGTGTCTAGCAAAAGACACAGAGCCAGAAAACTAGATGATGCAATAGTTACTTGTTGAGTTAAGAAATCAAATAAACAAATGTTTTGTTCAAAACACACCAACAGGCCTCGGTTTGCTCTCTCTCCACAACTGAAGGATTAGCCACTCTGCTGAGTTGGATTTGCCAGGATCCACTTGTGAGTCCTGTGATGACATTAAACGATATCTCCAGGGTTTTGGGGAATTAAAAAGTAAGCAATACTCTAATAGATCTTCATGGTGGAAATAGAAGTTTGTGATAAATTGGCTGTGTAAATCAATTTCATTCTTAAATTACTTTATGTCTTCCAATTACAAAACCTAGGCCAATACTGCAGACCCTTTAGAATTTCCTGACCATAAATAATTGACAGTTTCTTAGTCTTTTATGCAAATCACCATTAGTTTTACAACCCAGAGCAAAGCCTCTGGTGCCAGCTAATGCTTCTGCTTACAGAATACTCCCCCTCCCCGCCCCGCATCCTCAGCTCCTAATCCTCAGCACTCCCACACTGCAAGGAGAAATTCAACACAAGGAAGGAAAACTCTGAGTTCTTATGCAATGCCTTTATTAATAAAATTTTTGTTAATAATGTCTTTGGATAAACTCATCAAAATATAACCAATAACTCAAATGTGACAAAAATTATTGCCCTCATCCTACAAGTTCATTAAGGAATGACAGGCGTAAATACAAACATAATGCCCACCATGGGCAGAAACGATGAGCCATGCAGGCTTTGCCCATTAAACAGTGCAGCAGGGAGATGTATTAGTCAGGATTCTTGAGTCATGAGCCGTGGGCCGTCCTAATCTACCTCTTCGCTGTCACGATAATGCTTTGACGGAAAACCACTTGAGGGAGAAAGGGTATATTTCACCTTCTACGTTGTACTCCCTCTCTGAGAGAAGGAAAAGCAGGAATCTAGAGGCAGAAACTGAAGCAAAAACCATGGAGGAATGTTGCTTATTGGAGACACAAATGTTGTGTTTATAACACCGCCCCATTGGTTCATAAACCATGATAGGCAGACCTGCTTTGACAACTACAAACAGCAGTTAAATGAGCCAGTAGATTAGAGCAGTATGTGATGTCATGACTTAAGGTGAAGGACCCTGAAAAACATATATCACCAATTGAACTAAGCATGAGAAGTATCAGGGATAATTTAAAATAGGCAACACCATATCTCTGAATGAAACTCTAAACAATGCAAGTTGCTGAACCATACACCATCATTTCCCTTCCCTAGAAGTTCTCCAGAGTTTTCTGGTGGTCACTATTATTTTCATAACAGATACAAGGCCCTAAGTAGTAAAAACTTAAGAGAAAGAACTTGGGGGGAGAGGACAGAAGACAGAGGAAATTTTATACACGACATCGTTTAATTGTGCAATTTTGTGGCACTTCAAATATCTGACCTGTTTTGGTAGCAAAACACCAGGGATCTGAGCCAGTCAAGCCAGGGCTGAGTTGTGAGCAGAGCTGACAGGTAGGGCACTCACTTTGGAACAAAGGATCTTCTGGTGTATGGTGGAAATCACCTGAGAAAACAAAGTTTCTGGGTTTCTCTGTGCAGCTGTTTCCAGCGTGCTTAACTGATGTGGAAAGATCCCTCTTGAATGTGAGCAACGGCATCCTTAGCGCCCTGGGCTGATCAAGGGGAGGGAGGAAGCAAACGGCTCTGGGATATAGGACTGTGCGTAGAGTTTGCTAGGCCAACGCTGAAGATGAAAATCCATCTGAAAGTAGACGTCTACACGGAGAAAGCTGATGGAAAGATTCAGACAGGAAGCGACCGCCACGGACGTTCTCAGGTTCAGCCACCGTGACACACAGAGGCCAGCACAGTGGTGACAGTGGTCAGAGAATATCGAGGGCTGGCAGCAGAGCTTAGCAGTCTTGTCCGTTTGGTGCTGGTTTGGACACATAAGTGCAATAGCTGCTGGGTGGTGGTGGTGGTGGTTGCCAGGAGCCAAAGAGATGACATCCTCCCAACCTCAGACAGAGCTAGCCTGTCTCAACCTCAGACATCCAACTCCCACAACTGCGAGGCAGAAAATATCTGTTAGCGACACTCCCAGTTGGTGGAAGCTGTTTAAAGCAGCCTTAACAGCACCGATACCTGCCAGGCGCTTGCCCGTGGAGTCAAGACCGCGATCTTCTTGGCGTGAACTGTGCATGGTTTCACTTACCACGCCTTCTGCATTGCCTAAAGGCCAAAGAGGGCCTGGCTGTCACCAAGCAGGTTCACGTTTACAAAGTCTTTCTTTTATATTTTTATTTGTTTGTTTGTTTACTATTAGTGCGTGTGCACATGTGCCACGGTGCGCACAGGGTCAGAAGACAACTTTCAGGGGGGCGTTGGCCTTCGCTTGTCCAGCCAGGGAGTCTCCTGTCTCTGCTGCTGCACTGCATTCTGGAGCCCAGCTGGCCCACAAGCCTCTGGCCGGCTCTCCTGTCTGGACCACCTAGCCTGCTGTAGAGATCACAGGTGAGCACCACATGTGCTTTCCTATGGGCTCCAGGGACAGGCCCCAGGCCCTCAGGCCTGCGTATAAGACACTTCCACCCTCTGGCCATCTCACCAGTCCAGGACTCGACTCTTTCGTCACATTTTACCCAAACATTTAAAGTGTGGAGTTGTATTTGTGTGCCTGTTTGATACACAGAGTATATATTTTAAGGAATGTTTTGAGAGAAAAAAATGGAATTGTCTTGTTTTTATGCTTGAAATATGCTTAGAAGACCACAGTATAACCATAAGGTTTTCCAGTGACTTTAAGGCCAAAACCAGTAAAATTTGACCTGAACTGACCTAATTCTTACAAGATAGAGACCTGGCATTGCTCACCATTCTGCTGTTTAATAGAATAATACTGTGTGTCAGATGATGCAAAGGAAGACGTAATCACAAGGATGACATCACAGCACATTTTCTCTCTACCTGTAGTTTTTGCCCTGGCTAGGTGTAGGTACCAAGGTCTTTTTCCCTTCTTCCTGGCGATTCGCAGGGCCGTGTGACCTCTGGCTCCCTGGAGATTCTGCACTAGCACTGGCTTGAGGGGATAGCTTAGGAAGAATTTGACTCTCTTTGTTATGGTGATTCTACCTGTATTCAAGGTTCTAGCAGTGGGTTCCACACGCCTGGCCCCTCCCAGCAGATACTGCCTGAGGCGCAGGGGCCTGTAATCTTCTCCTCCTGCTCCTGGATGGGAGGAGGCCTTGCCCTTTTGATCCCGGTTGCCCACTGGTATAAATACCCGACTTGAGTTTAATAAAGTGGCCATTTACTCTTGGTAAGTGAGCAAGGTCTTTTTTTGTGTGTGTGTGTCTCTTTAAACCCTCAGGACAATCGTCCATTCTCGTGGGCCCGAGTTCGGGAAGGCCTGGATCGGGTGTGGGTATCCACAGGAAGGCGGGGTCCAACAGCTAGGTGCATCTTTTTGTTGTTACTGTTGTTGTTGCTCTGTTTCTTGTTTTGTTCTTTTGGTTTTTTTTTTAAACTTCTCTGGAAAATTAAAATTCTATTTCAAGTCACATCACTAGGCATTCGTACATCTTCAGCTCCTAGTCGGAAACCAAGGATCACCACGTGCTTTAGCTGCTACTTTCAGCCCTAAGATACATAGACTGAAATGACAAAAGAGCCATTTGCTCGGGGGTGTTAATTATATGATGACCCTACCACAGGGGATGGAGATGCTTGCAGAGAGAATCGCAGCCTCACCAAGATGCACAGGGAAGTACAAATTGGGGGGGGGAGGGGTGCCCGCTCCCAGCTCGCAGCTCCACTCCTGAGCCTGCTGTGCTTCCTCATTTCCTCTTAGTCAAAGTTTAAATTATCATTGTGGGTATCTAATTAGCTTCATTTGTCCCGTGTTTATTTATAATCTTGCTGCTAGCCATTCAAAAGGCAAGTCACCCTTGTAGTAACAGCATAATTACATCCGTACATACATTGTATTTGTCTAACACTTAGACAGAAGAATATGATGATTTCAATGGCTTGAGGACGTACTCATAAGGAACCACAAACACACATGCCCACACACTGCAGTCTGGTGTGTAGCAGGCCGTATAATTGCCATCGCTGGTTTCCAGGGCTTCGCCGAGTCCCTCTCATTTGCAACACTGTAAATAGACGCGAAGACTAAAGCGTTGCTGTTTAACAAGATGGGTGCTCCTACAAAGATCACAGGAGTTCTGAAGATGCACTTTGCAGTTCTCCCTCTGAGACAAATGACTTTGTCATGTGGTACACAAGCTGAGAGCCTGGGGGTCGTTTGTTAATGCCACTCACTTCTCACTATTGAGGTGTGCAGTTTGGGGTCTGCAGCCTGTGGGAAAGTTGGAAACTCATTCGGCTAAGTCAATGGTTCTCAATCTTCCTAAGGCTGTGACCCTTTAATATAGTTCCTCATGTTGTGGTGACCCCCAACCACAACATTATTTTGTTGCTACTTCATTGTAGGGCGCCAAGGCGCCACAACCCTGCTGTCATTTCCTGCCTCTCAAGCAGCTTTGGCCCCGCCCCGAGGCGCTTGGCGTGCTTTCCCGAATGGCGCGATCCAGCCACCAATCGTGAGCTGACGCGTAAGATCAGGAGCAGCCAGAGCCATTCAGACTCGGACACGTCTCAGGCTTTGTTCTGCACAGCTTATAAGCCGTGCGCGCCAGGGTCTGGGGTCCTTCGCCATCAACCTCAAGTTTGTGCACTCCCAATAAAAGTACGTTCTGAGAAGAATCCTGTTGTGGTCATCTCTTCTGCTGGCGGACGCGGCGTGCCACAAGTGGTGCCGACGCCCGGGAAGTTGACATCTGGGCACCGTGCAAGGACCCCCGGCTCATCGGGAAGGATTCAGAACTTAGGCGTACAGAGCGGCGGTACCAATAAGTTCTCCAAAGGTAACAGTGACGTGCTGATGGGAGGAATAGTCCTATCGTGGGTAGTAGCTGTGATCGTCTTAACATCATGGGGAATGACACTTCAAACCCGCGGGTCGCAGAGAGTTTTCTCCACCCGCTTCAGCGGTTGTTGAAACAGCGAGGTCTGAAGATCTCTGATGGCTCTATAAGGGGATTCTTGGAAGACATTGACCAGGCGGTTCCGTGGTTCGGGGTGACGGGGGACGTCAATCTCCCCTGTTGGGTAAAGCTAGGACGAGATCTCGAGAAGGCTAAAGCTGAGGGGAAATTACGGCCAAGAACAAAGCCCCTGTGGCAGTTGATACGCTCTTGCCTTAAAGATGGCACGTGCATCGAAATTGTCAGCGAGAGTCGCAGAGCTCTCTCTGCCCACCAGGATAGCATGTCAGAATCAGATAGCAAAAAGGAGGCAGAACTAAAAGAAAGGAAACCTAGGAATAGTAAAAAGAGCTCTAAAGGAAATAAAGAAAAGACAGACCATGGGAAAATGGGACAAAAACCCTCCGGGCTGTACCCAGTCCTGGATGAGTTTGCACACCTGACTCTCTCAGATACCTCTGAGGAGGAGTTGGATCTAGAGGAGGAGGAAGAAGTAGAGGAAGTTGCCGCGGAGTATGCACGGGGACGGTATAGTCCGGACAACTCCGATCCACTTCCATATTGCCCGCGAAAGGGACAGCTGACAGGGATCCCATCCGTGCCAGTTGCCTCAGGTGCATTTTTTATAAAACCCAGCACATGGAGTCGGCTGGCCAGTGCATTTCCAGTATTTGAAGACCCTGCTATGCAGAATAGGCATCATGAGCCAGTAGGGTATAAGCAACTGAAGGATCTGGCCGAGTCGGTCAGGATGTATGGGGTGGGTGCTAGTTTTACCCTGGCCCTCATGGAGCGTCTTGCCCAGAATGCCATGACTCCTTCAGATTGGTTTGGCGTGGCCAAAGCATACTTAACCTTAGGGCAGTATTTAGAGTTTAAATCAATTTATACTGACTTCACCTATTCCCAGGCCAGAACAAATGTGATGAATGGGAATCAGTTCTGGACAGCAGACATGTTACTGGGGCAGGGGCAGTGGATTAATAATCAGACAGCCCTCCCAGTAGAAGTCTATACACAAATTAACACAATAGCCACACGGGCATGGAAAGCCATCCCAAACAAAGGAGAAGTGGCCGGTAATCTTACAAAAATAATCCAAGGCGCCACAGAACCATTCTCTGACTTCGTGGCGCATATGATGGAGGCTGCAGGCTGCATGTTTGGGGACATGGACCACACCATGCCCCTCGTAGAACAATTAGTGTACGAGCAATGTACTAAGGACTGCAGGCATGCCATAGCCCCGTGGAAGGCAAAAGGCTTACAGGCATGGATGAAAGTATGCAGGGAAGTTGGAGGGCCCTTGTCCAATTCAGGGTTGGAAGCTGCAAAAACAGTTGGTAAAGGGCATGGCGGATCGAAACAATGTCCAAACAATGGAGGGGGGAGCAAAACAGGAAACCGCAAGCCGGATGTTTGCCGTAGGTGCAAGAAAGGGAAACATTGGGCAAATGAGTGCCAGTTGGTAAAAGACATACATGGGCTGCCCATTACAACACCCCAAGGGCCAAAAAACAGGAACAGGGGCCCCCGTCCCCAGGGCCTACGAAAATATGGGGCACTGCAGAACCTGTCATTTCGTCCCCCATCACAGCCAGGAGAGCAACCTCAGGCTCTGCAGGGCTGGACATCTGTGCCACCTCCAGAGTGGTATTAACACCTCGAATTGGAGTACAGCCAGTAGAGTCAGATTTTAAAGGCCCATTACCCAAGGACATGGTGGATCTGCTTCTTGGCAGATCCTCGTCTGCCTTGAAGGGATTGGTCATTACTCCAGGAGTCATAGATCCTGATTATGATGGAGTTGTAAAAATATTATGTGCTTCCCCTCGAGGTATAACAGCTATCTCTCCAGGGGATCGGATAGCCCAATTAATAATCTTACCCAGTCTGCATGCTAGCTTCCCCGCTAAGGATAAGTATAGAGGTGACAAGGGCCTTGGCTCCACTGGAGTTGATCTGGCATGTCTTTCGCTAACACTAGACAACCGCCCGATAATAGATTTAAAGATAGAAGGGAGGACATTTTCTGGACTGTTGGATACTGGAGCCGACCGTAGCATCATAGCCAAAGGCTCTTGGCCTAAACGCTGGCCGCTGCAGTCATCCTCCCAAACATTACTAGGCTTGGGCTTTGCCCAGGCTCCAGAAATAAGTGCAAAGGAATTAACCTGGTCCTTTAGTGAGGGACAAAAAGGGAGATTCCAACCCTTTGTGGTGAATCTTCCCATTACCCTCTGGGGAAGAGATGTGTTAAGCCAAATGGACATGAAACTGTCTACTGAATATTCTTTGGCTAGCAAAAATATTATGATGAGTTCAGGATTTGTACCAGGAAAAGGGCTTGGAAAATGTCTCCAAGGCATGACAGAACCTATAAGGGCACAAGGAAACATAGATCGTAGAGGGCTGGGTTTTTCGTAGGGGCCACTGGGGATGGAATTCCTATACCTTGGACTACCTCCACCCCGGTCTGGATCCCCCAGTGGCCCCTCTCCCAGGAAAAACTGCTTGCTGCCCAGGAATTAGTCCAAGAACAGCTAGCTGCAGGTCACCTTGAACCCTCTCAATCACCTTGGAATACGCCCATATTTGTAATAAAAAAGAGATCAGGCAAGTGGAGGTTGTTGCATGACCTTAGGGCGGTTAATCAACAAATGCAGCTTATGGGTCCAGTACAACGGGGCTTACCAATCCTTTCTCGTATCCCTGCTGATTGGCCAGTAATCATACTTGACATTAGGGACTGTTTTTTCTCAATACCCTTGGCAAAGGAAGACTGTTGCCATTTTGCCTTTACATTGCCCTCTGTCAATCATGAACAACCAGATGCACGATTTCAGTGGTGCGTCTTGCCACAGGGGATGGCCAACAGTCCCACTATGTGTCAGCTCTTTGTTGGACAGGCTCTTAATCCAGATGCCTGAAGTATCCCAACATCCGGGTTTGTCATTATATGGATGACATATTAATAGCTGCACCAATGTCGCTATTGCTGGAAGAAGCTTATGTACAGATCGTTAAGGATCTAGAGAACAAAGGCCTAGTTATAGCCCCTGAAAAGGTACAGAGGGACAAAGTGGGGAAGTTTTGGGGAGCCCTTCTTTCATCAACTCAGATTCGGCTGCAAAAGATTCAGATCAGGACAGGTCAATTGGAGACTCTAAATGATTTTCAGAAGTTTCTAGGAGATATTAATTGGCTTAGGCCATATTTGCCTATAACTACGGCCGAGCTTAAACCATTATTTGCCATTCTGGAAGAAGACCCCAGGGTTACGTCTCCGCACATTTTAACCCCAGAAGCCCGGGAAGTGATCAATAAGGTAGAAAAGGCCATTGAAACGGCGCATCTGACATGCATAGTGCCTACCGAACCATTATACCTTTGTGTTCTTCCCACCATCTTGCAACCCACTGCTGTTTTATGGCAGAAGGGCCCGTTACTCTGGATTCATGCACATGCTTCCCCACAAAAAACAGTTGAACACTACCCTACTGCTGTGGCGAATTTAGCATTACAATGTCTTAAGTCAGCCATATTGCATTTTGGCATTTTCCCACATGTTCTGCTTGTACCATACACTCCATCCCAAATTCAAGCTCTAGGGGCTACAGTAGATGATTGGGCTGTTCTTCTTTGTAGCTTTTCTGGAAAAATAGATAACCATTATCCTAAAAGTCCCTTATTACAGTTTGTAACCCATCACCCAGTTATTTTTCCCAAAATTACCTCCGCCAAGCCCTTGACAGGAGTCAAAGACATTTATACAGATGGCTCCAAAAGTGACCGAGGAGCCTATGTAGTGCTTGGAGAAAACCCAGTTGTTGTTCAATTTGAACCAGAGGCACCTCAAATTGTGGAATGTCGCATAGTCTGCCACGTTTTTAAAACGTCTTCGGAGCCGTTTAATCTGATCTCCAACTCGCATTATGTTGTCAATGTAGTTCGACACCTTGAAATAGCTGCAGATATCAGCTCAAAAAGTCCCGTGGCAAGCGTCCTTATTGAACTCTGCAGCCTCATTAGGCAGCGAACTAAATCCTTTTATATTGAACATATAAGAGCTCATACTCTCCTTCCAGGCCCCATGGCAGAACATAATGCCTTGGCAGATACTGCTGCTAGGACCCTAGTGTTGCCAGTCCTGACTGACCTGGAACTCGCTAAACAGTTCCATCAATTATATCATGTTCCAGCTACAACTCTGTGCTTAAAGTTTAAAATACCACGCCATGTTGCCAGGGAGATTGTGACTTCCTGTCCCTGTTGTGTAACCTTCCAACATCCGCCTCATACTGGGGTCAATCCTAGAGGGTTGCGACCTGGTGAGATGTGGCAAATGGATGTTACACATATTTCTAGTTTTGGGAGATTACAGTATGTTCACGTGTCTGTCGACACCTGCTCAGACATTATCCATGCCTCCCCTCTTTCGGGAGAAAAAACGGCTAATATTCTTACACACTGTCTGGAAGCTTGGGCAGCCTGGGGAAAACCCAGGATTCTTAAAACGGATAATGGCCCTGGCTACACTTTGAAAGGTTTTCAAGCCTTTTGTAAGCAACTGCAGGTGACCCATGTTACAGGCCTGCCATATAATCCCCAGGGTCAAGGTGTGGTGGAGCGAGCTCACCGATCCCTGAAAGAACTCATACAAAAACAAAAAGGGGGAATAGCAGAAGGCTACTCTCCCAGGAACAAAATATCTATTGTGCTCTTTACTTTAAATTTTTTGATTGTCAATGATAAAGGACAATCTGCTGCCTGTAGGCATGTGGATCCAATTCAGATAAAATTTCCTCCTGTAAAATGGAAGGATGTGTTGGATAACACATGGAAAGGCCCGGATCCGGTTATAGCCAGATCCAGGGGAGCTGTTTGTGTCTTTCCGCAGGACCAAGACAATCCTGTTTGGGTGCCGGAAAGACTGACTCGAGTGCTATGCCATGAAGACCTTCATAATAGTGCTGAGCCTGATGGCGATCTGCACAATCATCACCAAGAAGATGACGCTGTGGGCAGTGACCAGAACCTGGCCCATCCCGATGCCAGTGCATGCAAATTCTAGTGCACTTCCGGTAATTTTTTCTACATCCTACGATATGGATGTGCCCTGCATGATTCCTATTGGCGGTAACCCACAACGCTTTAATGTTTCTAACATTAACTTGTTAGGCTCCTATTGTTTTTCCCTGAACAATGCCAACTGCATTCTATTAAGGAAGAGAAATATTACTGCCTGGTTAAATCCTCTTCAGAATGCTAGGGTCTCTGTCGGAATGATATTTTCCATCCTGACACGGGATATTCAAGGACAGCACACAGGCAGTGGTAGTGATGAAAATGGCTCAAACGCAGTAAATATTACCACCCTAGCCATTACAAGCACTGCACGCGTACCCCAACCTTATGATGGGACCTAGATTGGCACTCAATTTACAGCTTCGCCCCATTGTGAACCAGATACCTCATTTCCCCCAGTTTTTACCATATGCCAAAGCAAATTGTGGGAGAAAAAATCAGTTAGTGAGGGTTTTACTATGTCACCCCCACTAAAGCGATTTGTATGGGGAAAAGGAAATGCTTCAAGTGTTGGAGATGGTTGGCCTTGGTTTCAGTGGCTTGTGTCTAATGAGGCCAGTGCTGTGTCTGATATTTCTGCCTTGGCTTGGACCGATGACATAGTACATAAAATGCTTAACATCTCAGGAACAGTAAAAACTGGGCGATTATATAATATCACTGTTAATGGAGAGAAGTCTAACGCCATTTATTCCAGGGCTGAGGTGTGTGTACAGGCACCTTTTGCGTTTTTACTTGTGAGTTCCACTAATCACATTGTAAATTGTGCTGAAGATCAATGCTGGCTTGCAGAATGCTGGAATAATACCTGGCCAACTGCAGTGGTCATGAAAGTGCCTACTATAGTTCCCATTCCAGTGGAAGTAGATCCGGATACTTTTCCGCTGATGACCTTGCTAAGGGAACGTAGGGACTTTGGTATTACTTCTGCAATAGTGGCTGCCATAGTCTTTTCAGCAGGCAGCGCTATAACTGCGACAGTGGCTATGGCCAATCAAGTACAAACGGCACAAACCATTAACAAAGTTGTGGAACAAACATCAAGGGTCCTCGAGACCCAGAATGTGGTTAACAAACACTTGCTGTCAGGCATTGTGGCAGCTAATCAAAGAATAGACTTAGCGCAAGTACAAGTAGAGGAATTATATAGTTTGATACAAGTAGGATGCATTTCACAAATGAAACATATGTGCATAACCCCTTTGAGATTTATTGATGCAGGAAATAAGAGCAAAAGGCTGGGAGACTATTTAGCTGGAAACTGGTCGCGAGAGGCAGAGCAACTCATTCAGCAGCAGCTGGTCCAAATTGCTGAACTTAATGGAACCCGTGTTGATCCTGTCACCCTCAAAGAACTGACCTCTTGGTTGACTTCAGTTCTCACCTTCTTTAAGGAATGGGTTGGGGTGGGATTGTTTGGCGCTTCAATATGCCTAGGTGTTTTCCTATGTCTGTGGCTACTGTACCGTCTCCGAGCGCGACAGGCTCGAGATAAAGCTGTGATCGTTCAGGCACTAGCAGCGATTGATCAGGGCATCTCCCCCCAGGTATGGCTTGCTAGCCTTAAGAGGG